GTACAATTTTAGTGCAATAATAAAATGCGTACAAGAGCTTAGGCACAAACTAACGTTAGCAAAAATACAACGTAAAAAAACTACGATGATCTTAAATTGGCTAAAAGGTAGTCTTGTATTGCATTAAGAGGCGTTGTTGCTGAACGGATTTTCCTTCACAGTTTTTGTTTTCTTTAGTCAGGAACTCTTCAACACTACCCATTCTGCGCATAGTATCTATTCCATGGGTATATCGTTACAATATCTGTAGGTACGTTGATGCGGCAGCCTGGGCACAGTGCACAATCAGAAACTATCTTGACTCGGTTGGTTGTACATCTAGGACCTTGTACAGGGTAAACGCCAACATCAAAATCGAACTGGATGGTATACAAGAATTGACTGTCGCTCCAGCCAATTTGACCCAGCTGACATCGTGGGATATTCTGTACAACGTAGAACAGTTCCCAAGGGGTTATTTTATTGGCGAAGAAATAGGATTGCCCAGGGTTGATGTTCTCCCATTCTTCAAAAAGAAAATGTCTCCGGATAACATGTTTTTCCCTTTTCTTGGACATGGTTAGGTAGTAACATCTATCGCAACTGGCCATTTCTCTTTCTGAGCAAACGGTTTTCGCTAGCTCCCCTTAGTTTGATAATAATTTTCGATAAAGAAGGCCCAGTCTCCCATGAACGCCTGCCCTTCTTAGTCGGGAGGACCAGGACACGAAGAAAAGGTAGTTTTCAGGGGAGACCTGATTTGATCGGCCACATTCTTGGACTAAGATTTTGACAGATCCAACACTGTTTTCATTCCAAAACTTATCCACTAGCTGATCTCTAGCCAAGACTGTTCGATTAAACTACAGACCTTAAGAGTGAATGCCTATAAAAATCGACCTAAATCGCCTGTCGATGGCAAAAGTCGAACAATTGATTTCGCTTGGTTAATTTCTACTAATACAGCTTTCTCTGGTAGAAATATGCAAGGCTGCTGCCTAACGGGCGCCCGGTCGCCTGAGGCGCCTAACTTACGAGTGCGGGCGACTAAAGTT